AGTTAGGAAGTCGTGTGAGTAGTGCCTTGATATGATTATGAGCAATAAATAGTGCTTGAAACGTGGTCATCAGTAAACATTACTGTATAACACTATGAGACTTCATCAAAACAAATTTCACCCATAACGTTTGGTGATATGGTTAGAAATTGTTCTCAATGCCTGGCGTAGATGCATTCCTTCTTTGCATTCTTGCATATCCATTCAAACGCTCCTCGGTTTTCAATTGCCCTCTGACTAAAGTCAGTTTGACATTAAACTTAACCATTGACAATGATGGATTAAGTTATTCATAAATTAATTCATCTTTGTATAAATTTGAAGCATTTTTTTAACCTGTATTCCACTCTGTTTAAGGTTGTAAATCACCTTTTTATTCTTTAAATGTCAATAAATTCAATGAACTGTGAAGATAACAGAAGAAAGTCAGTCTTCATTTCTACTTGTTTTTTTTCTCTCTCTCTCTCTCTGCCTCTCTCAGATTGCAATGTGACCTGTTTGTTATGCGAAATGAATAAATAAATAAATAAGAATACTGATCAAATTTGATTCCTTTTTTTCTTCAAAACACCCTCTTTTTTCAAGATTATTTTTTAAAAATGATTGATCACTTATTTATCTTTTTCTCGGCAGTTTTGGCAACTATTTAGTTAGTTAGTTAGTTAATCAGTTGATTAGTTCATTTTAAGTTCATTGAAAGAATCAAAAAGACAATTCAGGTTAATGAAAAAAAATATATTAAGGTTAGTTAGTATTTTGTATTTAAGGTGAAAAAAAGGTAGATTCAAAAGCCTAAAAATATCACTTTTGGAGGGAGTTAGAAAGATTCTTAAATACAGCCACCTGTTTTCCCAGCCTGCACTACTTATTTCATGCAATCATATATGTAAGATTCAAAATATCACCATGGTTATGTCAATTAATCTTTATTCATAATCAATAGAATAGTGGGCATTAGTTTTAGGCAGGCCAATTCTGATTGGTCCATTTCTGGACTGCATATTGGTCACTTGTGTGGGCCAGAACCTGATTGGTTTATCTGTATACTTAACATCATCATCATAGTGATGTTATGAATCCATAAATGTTATCATAAATTAGATTATATAAGCCCTATATTTAATGGAATCGAATACATTTCAGTGGAAAGATGAAATAATAGGTAGATAATTGGACTACAGTGTGGGTTTGTTTTTATTCCTTTAAGTTTCGAATAGAAGTTTCAGTACTAGTGATGAGGTTTAACGGGATGGAGTTGTTAACCTCAAGCCCAACTATCCCTCTTCTAAACGAGATTCAGTGGCAAATAGACCAGGAGAATTTTACCTCTGAACCATCTACTCATGAGATTGAATTTTGGTTTTACTGTACTGAAATAAAGCGGAAACTTTTTATTACATACAATGAATGCATTTTACACTAGTTCCGACATTAGTAGATGACTGGAGACAGGCAGTCGACAAGAAGCCTCAGCTGAATTAAGTTCCGTGCTTGTTGGCACTGACCAGTCATCAAGAAGTATGTGCAGTCTTGAAGGAACTCGTATCTCCTCTGAGATTCGAATCTACGTCACCTGCTGTCAGAGATTGATAACAGTGAGCTATTAGGACTCACAGTTGACTTCCTGTAGGATTGTATTAGATACTTTGACTGAACACTACGTGATAAACAACTAATGTTATGCGTCTAAACCTTTCTTCAGTACAGACCGAATTTTATTAGTTATGTTTGCAAAGTGGCCATCATGCTTTATAGCTCATCATGACGGTGCACACTAGATTTTTATTCGATTGTTGGAGGCAATCGGCAGTACCTGTTACAGTCCTACAAGAATTCAATCGTGAGCCTGAATAGCTCACTGGATGACACGAGTTTGAAGCTCAGAAGGAGGGTACGAGTTCCTTCAAGATTTCGGATAAGCTTTGCTGAGTGGTGAGTGCCAAAAAGTACAAAACGTGGGTTAAAGGCTTCCTGTGGTTGACTGTCTCCAACCATAGAATGACAAGAAATCAGAGTTCCCTCAGCATGTTGGCAAAATCACAAACTTGACAAACAGATAGTACTCAATGTGCATGAAACAAAGGACTAGAAGCATGGCACCACTTAGTGTCCGATCGAGTTAACTTAGATAAGTTTTAATTTTTTACTCCTAATGAAATCAAATACATAAAGCAAACCCGGCAGATTTTATTCAGAAATGCGTTAAGAGTGGTAAAATAAATGATAAAACCAGTATGAATAATAATAAGGAATCCAAAGTTTAGATAGTACGGTGATATAAAGAAGGAAAAACAGAAGGATTTTTAATGCTCTTGGAATTAGAGTGACACCTAAACTAGCTAACTCACTCCGAGACAAACTTTATCAACTTAAATACCCAATAGATCCAATTAAGAAAAATAATATATTTTTCGACTTTGACTACGGATTGATGTCAGCTAGAAAACCACTGGAAACCAGCAGGGAGTACTAGACAACCAGCTATCTCATCCTAGTTTGGGACTCTTCAAGAGTACGCACCTGCTGGAAGGGTTCGAAACCAGGACATTCCGGTTACAAGGCAAGCTAGCTCGTATACCATTCAGCCAATGGGACCCGATTCAATGACCAACGCATGAATTCTAACTTCTACCAATTCGTGATTTAGCACGACCACCAACCAATATCATCGGTAGGAAATCCATCCTTACACTTGAATGGATGGACCTCACTGGTTATGTCTTCTCACTAGAACTCCAGGCGACTTTTTCCTGTAGCAAGTCACTGGCGAGCATCCGATTAATATATATTATAATATAATTTACCAAATACCATATTAAGACTGGGAGTGAGATCAGTGACACAGTTCAAGTTAGTAAATTGTAGTCAATTAGATTGTTAGAAAATACAAATAATAATACAAACAATAGAGTACAAAAACTAAGTAGTACCAAGAAAAATCTAAGACAGAAAGTGAGGCATATAGGAGAATCTGTGAAGCTTAATAATTACCTTGATAAATTAGTGAGAAAGTATGTAAGGAAATGTAAAAATACAATAAATAATGATGGTAGTGATAGTGGCGATAATAATACCAATAACTATTGCAATATTAATGACGACATGCATGTCGAATATGCGCAAGACAACACCAACAATAAGGAATCTAAATCATCAGTAGTAATTCCATAAAAGGAAGGAACCTCGGAAACCTTACGCAGAATTCTTAACAAGGCAGGAATAAAAGTGACTGGCATTCAAACCCCACAAACTCAATTAGAAATAAGCTTTGTCGGTTAAAGGATCAATCCTGTGGAAGCTTTAGAAACAAAACAAATTAGTTTTTCTTATACTTTGTCTGCAATGATTGTCAGGTCAAATACATAGGTCAAAGTAGTAGAACAGGGGCAGTCAGACTAGTCGAGCATAAAAACCTAGCAAAATCTAGATTGGTTGACCCAACACTAAGATAAGAAATCTAGAGAATGGTTCAGCAATACCACTCACTACAGGCAGTTACACACAATCAACCATACAATAGGATGGGATAGGATGATAGTTTTAAAATCCAATGTAACAGTGTTAAGGGGGGAGAGATTGATAAGAGAAGCTTTGTTTATCGAATCAACTGCAAATACATGCAATAGGAATGATTCAACACCTGTCCAGCTGGACATCTGGAAAATTCTACTACCCCAACGACGACAAATAGGAGAGGACAAAGAAAACTACAAAACTGAAGTTTCGAAGTCATGTGATTATAATTGATCCTATGATTATGGACAATATATTTTTTTCGAAACTTTGTCATCCAGTAAATAATACTGTTTCACTGACTGTGTGATACATCTAATACACAAACTAATATGGAACTACTTACTACCACATTGCCCAAGTTTTACACATATATATTAATACAAATCTAGATAGACTTAGGATGATTGACCCTGGTAAGTTAAATCACCTACAAAATAGCACAGTCGTTGCATTGCATTCACTTGCATGTAATCACACCATGGGGTAGGACAGGGTGAGTGTATGAAAAAGTAATGTAGTTAGGTTGACTAAGAGATAGATAGATAGAGAGAGATTAATCACTGAGTCTTTGTTTATCTGTTCAACTCCATACATGTAAGTGCAATCAAGCAAAGCCTATACCAGATAGATGAAAAATCGCAGGAAAATAAAAGTTAGGAGGGTGAATACACTGACATGATCATAAGCAGTAAATTAAGCTGGAAATGTCATCTTGGTTGCAATGTTTCACATTGATATAGATATAGCACACAAGCCAGCAAAATCGCTTAATTCGATATTATGCAAACCAAAAGATCCAACAGAAAAAGGGGACAAAATTAATACCATTTAGAAAATAAATTTTATGAACTGTAACAAGCATTACATCGGCGAGAGTGGGCGTTCCCTTCGAATTAGAATCCAAGAACATAAATCAGCCGTGAAAAGACATGATATATAATCTTTCATATCAATGCATATAGACAATTATGGTCATCAGTTTAATTAGGATAATGTCAAAATCTTAGACAGAGGAAACATCAAAAGTGCAGTCAGTGAATTCCTAGAAGCCTGGTGTACTCAAACGAAAATGCAATTAACAAACACGTTAATATAGACCAAATATACCAACTAATAAAAAGTAAATCAAGTGATCAGAAAGTTTAAAATCCAAGCCAACAAAAAATGATCAATACATATGCAAAGATGAAGAAATTTATATCATTTCACTTTATGCTAAATATCGCTCTGACGATGCTGTCCAGAAAGGTGGACGACGACAGCTCCTCAACTAAACCAACCAACCAGCTCAGAGAACACTATTAATTGCAAATGATTGATATTCTATATAGCGTAGTGTTCAACCAACTCAATTATTTTTTATTTTATTTAAAAATTGATCTCATCTTATAATATCTTACATTTATATGTATAATTTATATAACTGAAAACATAAAGCAGAAGAAATTAACTTCAGAATTAGTTTGCATGCGACATCAACTTACCTCGCTAGTATACGAACTCGGAAGTATTGAAAAAATTGAAGAGATCCTGTAGAGTTGATTTGATTTGCCCATAAAGATTTACGAAAATTTGAACTGGAATAAATTTCAGACAGTGAAATAAATAATGTTTTAGTGAAAAGTATGTGGAAGCGCCTTGAAACACTCGTGTCGTTATGTACATTAGAAAAATTTCAGAAACGAGGATTTAATTAAAGGAGCACGAGATAATTATCTATTGTCAAGTATTGATTTACATGGATTTAATGGGATTCCAAGTATATTCACGATCTAAAAGTGGGTAGGCAACTTTCAAAATCTTGCGAGTACTGTACAGTTGGTTCACTGTATTTGGTTACTCTTTATTAGTAGCCACCTATGACACCACAAGGGATTGAACCGAAAGCCTTCGGGTTACGAGGCGGACTGACTGCTGCCTGCCCAACCAGTTCTTCTGTATGAGTCAGAAAATTGCCAAAGTTCTCACGAAAGAGATTCTCAACAAGTTACAGACTTTCATCAACAGCTGCCCCATTCGATAGCTGTATACTAATTGGATGCAATACTGTAGTAAAAATGCTGAGAATTCCATTCTGTATCACATGTACTGTTTTGGAATAAAGCAAATTATTATTATCAAATGGCTAGCTGGCCGGCCATTAGCAGCAAGAACCTCTAGCTGGGAATAAACCAACAGGCGAGACTCAATCGGTCAACAAATATGCTGGAGTAAATGCAGATGCATCGGGCTTATATTGAGGAGGCCGTCAAATGACATCTCGCACCAAGATATTTCTCGAGTAGAATCCCAATGGGAAGCGACGAGTGGATCGTTGGTGAGAGGGTGATATGGAGGAGGTCGTGCAAAGAGGAGATGAGGGAATATGATTAATCGTGCACCTATCTGAAGACGACAGTATTTAATAGAAGGAAATAGAGATGTGCTGTTGAAGCGGTATGTTCCACTTGGAACCCAAGGAAATGATGAAATAATTAAAAACAAACCCATCCGATTTTCAAAATAGAGTAAAGGCAACTGCTGTTAAATCATTGTCGAGAAGTACACAGCAAATCTCTGGATCATTTGGAACCACTGACTTGTTAAAAAATCCCAACCCTCTTTGTTAAGCAAAGTGCAGTAAATTTCCACATTTGACTTCAGAGTGGTGAATATACGTTATGCCTGTCTGATAAGAGCCGGCTTTGACATCTTAACACTGTGAGTGGGGAGCGAGAAGGGAGAAATACGGCAACCCAGCAGAAATACTCTTGAATATCTGGATTCCGTGGATGGTTTATACCTAGTGTCACACAAACTAGAAAATCAACAGACTAAAACCATAACACCGGCTGAAGAGTCACGCACAAGGACAGGATGTCAAGTAGACACAGAGAAGATGGAGGTGATGAAGATAAGCAACCAACCAACTACAACAAGCACCAATCACTATCAGCAGAATACATTTGTAAGAGATCACCTCCTTCACTTAACCAGGATGCATCGTTTCAACTATAGGCACGCTAAAAAAGGTGAGGATTTCGGAACCAGAATCGGAAAGGCGAGACAGACATTTATCACTCTGATATTAGTTTTGAAATCTTCTGCATCCAAAAGGAAACAGAAAATTCGCATTTTCAAAACCAATGTCAAGTGAGCCTAGTGGGAAGTGGTGACCAGTAGCGTACAGTAAGTAGGGCGTGAGGACAAATACTTGCCAGCGATGACATTCGCTAGTGGTTGCATTATGTCGTGAATTAGTAGAAGTTAGAATTCATGGGCTATTGGATCACGTCCCAGTGGGTTAATGGTCTACGAGCTTAGCTTGTAACCAGAAGATCTTGGGTTCGAACTTCTGTTGTGGGTGCGTACTGCTGACTAGTCCTGAACTGGGATGATTCAGTTGTCTGGTAGTACTCCCAGGTCTTCCAATGGTTCTTTTATCAGCTCACGATATCAGGTCATGATGAAGTCCTGTAACCAATCAGTCAAATACCAACAAACCAATATTTGGACATCTTAAATGACTTAGACGCTTGTACTATGAGTCACGGAAAGCATTTTCAACAGACCACGGCGTACTTTTATCTACAGCTGTCTTCACTACCTCAATACTAAAGATCAAGCAGCTGTCAAGCCAGAAAGAATTAGCGACAACAAGCTCTGGGAACAAACTAATCAAGAACTTATTGTTCAACAAAGATGCAGTAAGAAATGTAGATGGACCGGATACGTACTGAGGAGACCGTCAGATGACATCGCACGCCAGGTCATGGCTCATTTAGAACCCGCATTGGGAACGATGGTTTGGGCGTTAGTTCAAGGGTGACATGGAGTTGATCGTATTAAGAGAAGAGCCAGCTAAAAAGGACTTCAGAGAATAAGACAGAGTGAAGATGTGCCACTAAGACCCTGTGTCACGCTCGGAACCCAAAATAATCAATAAATAACAATAATCTTCTCACTTCAAGGATGAATCGATAGCCAATTTGTTTGAGGGAAGAATCAGAGTACTTTTTTATGAAATCTCCCCAGTGGAAGATACAATATTGCTTAGAAAAACTCAACAGAAACATTACTAACTTAAAAAAAAGCAGAATAGCAAACTTACTGTGACGCAATAACTTCAGTAGCAAGACGTTTCAGTGTAATCACATTACTTGACTCTTGATTACTTGAATCATAATTATTGATATTATTGTTATTATTATGATGATGATTACTATTTGTACTCGTTTCAACAATCATCTTCAAGGCTGGAGCTTTTGGAAACCAAACCAATAGAGTAGCAGTAGCACTACGACCATCCATTTTAGCAACTAATGGCAACCCCGGGGAACCGTCTAATTCTGCACCAGAGAAACCTAACTTTGAACACATATCTTGAGCAAAATGGATTACAGCATCGTCGCCAGTATGACATGTCGCCTTCGATGTAATATCAATAATCTTTAAATCATGCGTTAAACCATATACCCAGATTGGATAGGTTGTTGGTTGTCCAGTGAGAACGGCAAGGTTAACTAATGCTGAAGTCTAAAATGGACAAAAATTTAAAAAAAGGTAAGGTATAGCTTTATTATGTGAATTATATATTCGAAATTGGACGAGCAAGATAGATACGGTGAGTAAATATTCTCAAACCATTCGTATGAGAAGATAGTGAAATATAGCGTCGTCAATGATGTATTTGAATTCGTAGACAAAATCAAAGAGATTAATGTGAAGGACAACAAGATAATTCCCTGATGGTAACAAGTCAATCCCTGAATCACTGAAGTCAGGTCAGTTACGGTTAAGTCCATTATTACGATATCTATGATAAAATTAAACAGAAATGGGGACATAGAGTATCCTACCCGCAGAACTCCACTAGTTGTCAACACTTCAGATGACAACTTACCGTAGGCCACTAAAAGCTGTCAGTAGGGCTGGTAGGGTGTCGATAGACTAAACTGTTAGTACTGATACAGAAAGACATATGAACTTATGCAAGAAATTACCTAATCTTGTCTTATCGGTCCGTGAATATCCTGTCTGCTTGCATACTTTTATTGGACACTAGTAACTAGTGCAATGTATCTAGTCCTATCTTCGGTGCAGACTGAATTCTATCAGTCAGGTTTGTAATGTGGCCACTATTCTAGGTAGCACGCCATCATGGTGCACATTGATTTGATGATATCAGATGATTTGAGGTAATCGGCGGGAAGCCTTACCTGACCTAGATTTCGTGCTGGTCGGCAAAGCGTATCTGCAACCTTGAAGGAACTCATTTTCCTCCTTCTGAGATTCAAATCAGCGTCACCCAGTGCCACCTGCAGTCAGAGACGTTACCACTGAGCCAGCTATTCTGGCCAGCGATTGACCTCCTGTAGGACTGTGGTGGAGACTTTGATTGGATACTAATCACTAACTAATGTGATGTGTCTAGTACTTTCTTCGGTGCAGACTTAACTCGATCGGTCAGGTTTGTCTCCTTGCATCTCATCAGGTAGGTAGAACTAGAAGTAACTATAGAAGACTATATGCTCAGGCAACCGAGTATAAAAACTTTACAATACATGATTGGACTGCAACAGATTTTATGAGATGAGAAAAGTATTAGGCATGACACTACCTAAATTTTATTACAATGTAGTCATTTTCTTTTTTAACAAAATTATCAATGTAAGTGCCCCTGTTTTAATCACTACCTCTGTAGTCAGAAAACTAGATGCAACATTGTACTACATACTGAAAATTCCATATTGCTATCAAAAGTCCTGCTAGAGAATAAAGCTGTTATTAGTGAGAGAAGATGGCGTCAGTTAGTAGCGAAATTCACAGTTAGATTAAAGTATACGCCAAAATCATATAGCCTACCTAAAGTGCATAAACCGTTGGGGGAACCGTTAAGACCAATACTTGATATGCAAAATTCGCCCTACCATACTCTAGCTAGATAGATGGTTAGTAAATATTCTTAAACCTTTGCATGAGAAAATAGTGAAATACAGCGTCAAAGATGTATTTGAATTCGTAGACAAAATCAAAGATAATAATAATATCAAGGAAAAAACCATGATATCTTTGGACATTACATCTTTATTCACAAATGTACCTCTAGTAGAAACAGTTAACTGCATATGCGAACAAGTGGATAACCAGTCGATAAACATTGGCATCCATAGTGAAATCCTAAAAGAATTGTTATTAAGGTGAACCATGATTGTAAATTTCAAATTTGATGGCACACTTTACAGACAAGTGTACGGGGTGGCGATGGGCTCCCCATTGGGTACCATTTTGACAGATTTCTTTCTGAGTCAACTAGAAAATGGATCTTTGAACAAACTTATTAAAAAATTCTCATTTTATTGCCGATATATGGATTACACCTTCACTCCGTATGATAATGATTCGGATAGCAGCACAATAATAACTGAATTCAATGCAGTACATTCGGCTATGAAATTCACATGCGAAGAGGAATCCCAAGACAGAATTGCCTTCCTGGGTGTCCTACTTATAAGAAAACCAGATGGTAGTATAAAGAGAAATTTGCACAAGAAAAGTACATGGACAGGACAATATACACATTTTCACAGCTTCGCTCCTCTCCAGTACAAAAGAAACTTAGTAAAGACCCTTAGCCACAGAGTTAGAGCTAAATGTTCAGAAGAAGTAATTGAAGATGAATAAAGCATTTTATATGATACTTTGATTAAAAATAGCTATCCCGACAAATTTATCGAGGAACACATGACATCGAAAGCATAAAAAGACTACCCACTATCCATAAACAAGAAGCCTTTATACATACAACTGCAATTCAAGGGCGATATATCAAGTGAAATAATTACGAAGACCTCAAGAAAATCAGTTGAAAGAACTTTCCTCGCTGTCAAACTACACGTTTTATTCCCTACATGACCGATGGTGCTACCCTGACTGAAAGATGAAGTATCTAAACTAGCCAGCAACCTCCAGTCGCATCTACCAATTCAACTACGCTTGTGGTGGAACGAGTTATATTGGCCGTTGCTCTAGGAACTTGATTTTTTGTCCTCGCTCGAGAACACCTACCAGTATGGCTAAGTAAAGGTGTAGTTGAAACCATTAACAGTTCGATATTGGACCATCTGGTACAAACTGGTCACAAAGCCAGCGTTGAAGAATTTTTCTCTATTATCTACCGGCTACCAAATAAATTTTCGAAAACATCGAAGTACTGCATGCTCCAAAGGGCAGAGGCTATTGCGATTCGCCTCAAATAACCTGTGCTCTGTGCATCGGTGGCACAGTGGTTATGACCCTCGCCGACCATGTACATGGTCTGGGGTTCGATCCCCTGCCGACACCCACTTGATACAAATGGTTATTTAAGCAATACCCCAAATATTCATCAACCTTATTCAACAGCTGTACGATAACGGCACATGCCAAGCGATCCACAACGGAAAACTCAGTGAGGCGTTTAAAGTCAACACAGGAGTCAGACAAGGGTGCTTATTATCACCAATGATATTCCTAATTGTGGTGGACTGGATTATGCGTCAGACAGTGGGAAACGAGAAGACAGGGATATCCTGGACCGACGTGAAGAACCTAGAAGACCTGGATTTCGCCAATGATTTATGTTTGATGGCACACAAAATCGAAGATTTACAAGCGGAAACCGACAAACTGGTCGAAGAAGCAGCAAAGACAGGTGAACATAGACAAGACGGAGGTCATGAAAATAACCAACCACTACCAACAACAACAACATCCAGCGCCAATCACCATCAACGGCAGGGATTTGAAAGAGGTTACTTCACTCACTTATCTAGGGAGCATTGTCTCAACTACAGGAGGAACGGATGAGGATGTCAAATCGAGAATCAGGAAGGCGAGAAAAACATTCATCAACCTGAAACCAATCTTGAAATCTTCGTCACTCACTCAGTATCAACAACAAAATTCGGATCTTCGATACAAACGTCAAGTCAGTTTTGCTATACGGATCAGAAACTTGGCGGGTCACAAAGAATATTTCCAACAGCCTGTTGCAGACCTCTATCAACAACTGTCTTCGCTCCATACTGAAGATTAGATGGCCGGAAACAATCACAAACAAGAGACTATGGGAACAAACAAAACAGGAACCAATCGCCCAGCAAATATGCAGGAGAAAGTGGAGATGGATTGGACACTCGCTGAGGAGGCCGCTGGGTGACATCGCGCGTCAGGCCAGTGCTCGAGTGGAACCCGAAAGGGAAGCGGCGAGTGGGACGTCAGTGCAAGGGTGACATGGAGGAGATCGTGTGAAGAAGAGTTGAAACAGTATGGACTAACATGGATGCAAGTGAAAAGTACAGCAGAAGACAGAAGCAAGTGGAGACGTGCAGTTGAATTCCTATGTTCCACTAGGAACCCAAGGGAACAATAATAATATAATAATGTTGTTAATATTACACATATATTAACAGTCAGTGAGCATATCGAAACCGATCATATGCCTTTAAACTAACCCTTGGACAATATATGTATACATATATATGTGCATAAATATCAATGAAAGAACGGCAAACAAGCATAGTGACATTACAGAAGTACTTGTGATACTTGTCGAAGAAGGATGGTGAATAGAAAGATAGACAGACAGACAGATGGATAGACGGAAGGACAGATGCAAGAAAAATCGAAAACCGATTCAGTTAGGCTAATGCTTATGCCTATGTGAGCTAGACGAATGAACAAACCGTTTTACTAATCCTTTTCAGCCTATACATACATATATCACTGAATTTACAATTATAATATAACAAACAATTTGTAAACATCGACAGTTGACTGTCAAAATAACCGATATGATGAATGCGAAAACGAGGCAAAGTTGTTGGTTAGCATACCAGAATGCCTTTTCGCATACATCGATGTAAGTAAACATCGAGACTTAGATAGGGAGGAAGGTGGATTTGAGAATAACAAATTTGAAAGTTTGAGAAGGTAAAGATAACAAAAATGTTCAGTGGAGATATTTCTTTTTCGAAAAGAGAAAGAGAGAGAGAGCAGACGAACAGGAACCGATCAGACTGACTACCACCTCCCATCAGTCCTTTTCGGGATTTAAATCTAACAACAAAAAAAGACAACTATTCACATTAATAAACACTTGTACGCACGTTAAGCGGTCAGATGAAGAATTTGAAAGCTTGACAGTTAGTTGTTTGTAAGTTGTAATAAATTTTGCATAACTCTTTTTTATTTTTGGTTAGGGAGGGGGGTCCGGCGGGTGGAAAGCAGATGACAGGAAATGTGTACAGTGTCATCGTGTTTTTTGATAGGGGAGAATATGAGAAAAAATTGAAATGAAATGTGAATCTAAACTCGGGGGAAAAAACTCACAAGTTAGATTGTAGCCGTGATCAGTTTAACTGTGGTATCTTTTCTTCCCTAGGGTAGAGAGTTGTGGAGTGGTTGCTTCACACGATGACAATACATTCTATTCTGGTTATACAAGGGGCTGAAATCAGTGTATTCGCTTCTCCTCAGAAGTAATGCATAATTAC